CACAACAGAGATTCATGTGGAACTTTATGAAGTCTGCAGTTCTTGAGTAACTGTGCCATGAAATGCGAATGTTTACATTCTATACTATTTACTTACAAGGAATGAGATAACGCTTAATTTAGTCAGTCAAGACTTTAGTGACGAGGCAAGCTAATACAAGAACATTTGTCCAGGTAACAGAGGAGAATGTTATGGTCATGTGTACTTTCTTAGCTAGAAAGCACTACAGAACTCTAAGACATTACATATTTTCTATAGAAATAAAAACGGCCTATAAAATAGGCACGGTCTCTACAAAATTCTTATTGTATTCTTGGCCTTTAATGACAAGAATAGTATAGTTAGCAAGCTGGGTGTGGTGGCATATGCTCTGAGTTCAGGCAGCTGAAGCAGCGGGACCACTTGAGCCCAGACATTTGAGGCTGGCCTTGGAACACAGTGGATAAATCTCAGGAAACTAAGCGGTTAAATGCCTGCTGAGTGAATATAACAATATTGATTGTTTATATATGATATAGTCTTTCTTATGGGCACTGGAGAGATACACAGACTTACAATTCATTGTGCCCAAAGCTGAGAGTAATGTTAATGTGTATGTTGGCATTTTTTAAAAAAAAGATTATTTATTTATTATGTACTCTGTGTTCTGCCTGCACGTATCCCTGCAGGCCAGAAGAGGGCGCCAGAATCTCATCACAAAGAGATGGTTGTGAGCCACCATGTGGTTGCTGGGAAATGAAATCAGGGCCTCTGGAAGAGCAGTCGGTGCTCTTAACCACTGAGCCATCTCTCCAGCCGCTATGTTGGCATTTTATGAACTTTGGGGCACCATATAAACGTAACAGTTCTTTTTCCTATTTGGTGCCAATTTCTAGGCTTTTAAAATTCTGTCACATTTATTATACTGTGCAAATAAAGCAAATAAGTAACTGTGGAACACTGTGAACATGAGGCATTCAGCATCAATGAATGCAAGACTGGATGGCAATTATTTATTACAAACAGTGCCCTTGCTAGGCATTGAGATGCAAAGACAGCATCCTTAGTGGCCCGTGTATCAAAAGAAATTGTGTGCAAGTTTAATTTATAATTTGTAAGCTGCCATACATGCCCAGTAGTCAATTATTTGCTTTTATCCCAAGACACTGGGAATACAAAAATTCATTGGCATTATTATTACTCACAACAGAGATTCATGTGGAACTTTATGAAGTCTGCAGTTCTATAAAGCCAGGACATAACTGTTGGCTTCATCTGTGGACAATGATAACTTTCTGAGTTTCATAATGGCTAAAACTTATTCAGAATGCTTATCACCTAGTATATGCATTTTACTGTGCTACGTGCTGTGCAAGCAAAGATTTCGTTCTCTCATGAAGTACTCACAGGACGTGTGAGATCCAGACCACAACCATACTTAACTTCAGTGATGAAATGAAAAAAATGGATTTGTATAAGGCAGTGTGCTAAATGTTGGGCTAAGTGGACTATCCTGTCTAGAAGGATACTTCCCTGCTGGCTTGATTGAAGAGATGGAAAAAAAAGTTTTCTTTGCTTTTTCCATCCAGTTTCTGAAATGTTGAATACTGCTGGCTGGAGATGAATTAGAACTACCTGGCCAGTAAAGGTGTGAAAAGAAAGGGCCAGAGTCAGGTAGTGCCACAGAGCATGGAGGGGACAGAGCATCAGATGCCTACATACTTGATGTGGTCCAGAACCTCCCCAAACCTCAGTACTGGCTGAGGACCAAGCACCCAGAGCGTAATTGTAATATCTAATAAAACATTGCTATATAGAATGTGCTAATCTAGGTCCTAAAGCTAAAATGTAAGGTGGACCTAGTGTAAAGGGCAGCACAAATCACAGATCACAGCTGAAGAGGAGACACCAAGACATGGCCTCATTGCACAGCCCAGGCCGGCTCTAGTTGGTGAATCTCCTGTCACAGCCTCTCAAGTGCTGAGATTACAGATGTGTGTGGCCACGCCCAGCCTGTAGAATGTATCTGATTACTGAGTAAATACTGTTTTAGTGGCTGTTTGCTTGGCGGTGCTGTGCTTGAAGAATTAGTTAAATAGGTCTGGTCTAGAAGACCCACTGACTTGACCTAGAGATTCTGAAAACCAAACGAAGGCCAAGATTTATTCAACGTAAAATGGAGACGTCCCTAACTAAGGAAGCTCCGAAGGTCGTTTGCTCATTGGCCTAGTTTAAAGTCAGGATAAGGGGACTTCAAGTCTGTCCTTTAATTCATTAGTTACACATCCTCCTTTCCTTACACTTGAAGTGTTTTAAAGGAGAATCAAGATGAACCAGTAATTCCAGAGGTATTCATTTGCTCGTTGCCTGGCTCAGAGTCAAGGAGATGACAATAAGAAAATACTTTCACACTCATCATACTTAATAAGGTCTTCAGTGTAAATAAAGTGCAATCCTAAGTGCTGAAAAGAATGAAGACACTAAGGACAGAACCTCAAGTATACTTTGTCTCAGTAGTTTATGAGACAGCAGTAACACATGAGACTACGGCTCTAACTTTAGCTGAAAAAAAAAAAAAACAAAAACCTCAAGACAGTGAGAAGGAGAGTTAAATAAATAGATCGCCTTCTCATGGACATGCTTGGTAGAATGGGAATAAAAGAGGTTCTCTATTTCTTGAATTACACACATTGCAAAAGATCCTACTGGATGCAAAATGAAACACACGTGTTCCAAAAGGCACTTAGTGTGACGTACAGATGCCTTGAAAAGCGGAGTGATGCTCTTTATTAAAGAGACTGGCTCCAACATTTTCTAGACTGAATGCAACTTGCTTTTTAATTGGCTCAGGTTAGAATATAGGAGGAATATTACTATTTATTCATTTTCTTCATTTATTCATCTATTTTACAAGTATTTGCATATAATGCTCTTCTAGGACCTTCATTTGGCTCCTGAGACCTGAAAAAAATAAGCAAATAGGCATTCCCTCCCAGGGAACTGCTGAACTTAGGGGCCTGCTTTTTGGGTAGTGGCACGACTCAGTCCCCAAGTTAAGATGTAGTTTAACTCCTCACCCCCATCTCTTCTCTGGCGCTACAATGAACAGGAAGCTGGGTTTTGTAGTAAGTCTGCTCCTAAAGTTGTGAGCCCTCTACTCAAAGAAACAATGTTCTAGCCCATGACTTAATTTACCTATGACCGTGACCACTACTGGTCAGGAGGTTGACAGCCACTTCGTTCCCCAACTTCAGTCTCCTTAGTATTATCCCCGGGGAAATAACCCATTCTTGAGCTGCAGCAGGCTTTGAAATACATTTGCAAATTTTGCCTGTCTTCAGCTTTTTAAATTTTAAACATGCCAAAGCATATAAGCTGCCTGAATAGGTCTCTTTCATAGAGTCAGGCGGCATACAGTAATTGTAAAAATGTTCTTACTGTAAACAAACAAACAAACAAAAAACCCCAATGTACTCAAGGCGGCTTGCTGTGGTAAAATAATGCCAGTGGATGAAAATAACAAAATTTGAACATGCTTGCATGAAATTTGAGAATAATAAAATTGGAAACAATCAGAAAATTGGAAAGAAAGACTATCAAAAGAACTCGGAAAACAAATGCCTTCTACAAGGAGGACTGAGCACTCTGGCCTTTTCTGTTTTGTTTTCACTCACAGAGGGTGGGACAGGAGGAAGAGTGAAGGAAAAGGTCACAGCTCCATCTAGAGAGCAGCTCACCTCTGTTCTTCCTTGGTCTGAAGAACATCACTGCTTTCTGGAACCTAGACTGGGACTGCTTTTACTTGAATGCAGTTCCAATAACTAAAAAATGTTGAGAAGAGGTGTCAATTTGGTCAATGTTCCTGAAAATATAGAATTTTCATCTAAATGGCTATCAGCTAAGTCTTGAGTTAAATAGGGATGAAATATATTAATTTAATCAATGTGACCTCTTTATCCAAGTTGCCTTAAAGCTGAAGTCACAATTTGCTGTAAGAAGGGCTTAGTCATTGTAGCCCATACATACTTTAAAGTATCTAGACTGTACTTTGCTTGGCAAGCCAACGTTAACATCTACAAATGGGGAAGGAAACAGAAAAAGAAAAGAGTTGAAGCCAGTTGGAGCCAGGTTGAAGAGGTCTGGGAGTTTTTTCTTTGTTTTCATTAAAACTAAATTGGGCAGACACAGCTAAAGTGTTACTAATGTTAGCTTTTGATTTGTGGGATCAGTTAATATCCCTTTGTATGGGTAGGGATGGGGGCTACATTTCTGGAAAGTGCAAAGAAAACATTAACTAAAAGCCTTCCTTTCACAGTTTCTGCGATCACTACAGCTTTAAAAAAAAAAAGAGCATCTTATTGTCATCTGCTTTGGTTACATAAATGAACTTGTAAACAAATCTATTGTTAAAGACAGCGGCGCCATCTCCCCAAGAGCTCTATACGAAAACACACGGAAGACACTTGAACTTTTGTGAACTGATGTGGAATGCGGAACTTTTTTTGACTAAAAAAATGCTGCTTAGCATGAATGACCACCATAAGACAATCTAAAGTCATAGGCGTCACAAGCCAGGGCGGGTGGGTGGGCGGGTGTGTGGGGGTGAGTGGGTGAGGGGTTTGTTGTCAAATAAAATGTTTTGTTTTGAAAACATCGTGTTTGAATATGACAATTTCTTCCCTTAAAATTGAAAAAATTAAATGTTATAAATGAGAGCTTTGTCTGCTGCATGTCTATGCATTAGGTGTGAATGTTATGCCCTTGGAGGCCAGCAGATGGTGCTGTGTCCCAAGGAATTGGAGTGAGTGCTCTTAACTGCTGAGACACCTTTCCACCACCACCACACCACTTTTCCCCACTCCGTTTTTAAAGATAGGGATTCCTGTAGCCAAGGCTAGCTAGCCTCCAAGTCCCAGTCCCATCTCCTCCTGTGTTACGATTACAGGCTTGCACCACCAAGCTTGTTTTCCATATGGTAGTTTTTAAGTTCCCTTCATACTAGTTACCTCGGGTTTAATCACCTACATAATGGGTCTCATTATGTAGCCCTGGCTACCTGGCTGGCCTGGAATCCATGTAGACCAGGCTGGCCTCAAATCCATGGAGATCCACCTCCGCCTCAGGAGTGCTGGGATTAAAGGCCTTCACCACCAGAGCTAGCCAGTTTTGTTTTTTTTTTTCTTTTTTAAAACTTTAAATCACCTGTTTTGCGGGTGATTTGAGGTCTCATTTCTTATAGCTTAAGTTGTCTGGGGAAAGGATACTAAGAACACATCCAATCAAATCGAGAGAAACAAAATATCGAGCATAAAGCAGGTGGGAGTATGCATAAACAATGGTAAGATTGTGGAAATGAAAAAGCATGCTGTGGAGAAATAAATCCCTCACAGAGGTAAGGGCCTCTGATAGTTCTAGAATTATATAAGAAGTAAGTTCTCATAGAAAAGTTTGTGCTATAAGTAATTTATAGCTAGACGTGGCTCTCCCTAGCCATAGTTAACCTGTGGAAGTGCACCAATGAACTAGGGCTTTCATTTCCATCCAGTGGGCCAGAGAGGCACCAGTGTTTGACCTGAACCTCATTCGCCTGGTACTAATACAAGGAGCCAATGAGAACACAAAGTCTTATCGACCACTGGCTGGTAAGAAGAGGTAGACAGGTACTACAAAGGAATCTGGGGAAGGGAAGTGCCAGAGCCTGAGGTACCAGTGTAGCGGGGGTATTGCTGTGACAGACCTGACTGTTTTTTGGAGGACTGGAACTGTGGGCTAGAAAAGCCATTGAGTGTTGAGATCTCAGTGGGAAGTTCGGCGGGAACTTGGAAGATAAAAATACTGAGTTGAGAGCAGTGCAGAAGACAGAGGCCTGGCTTGTGAAATTTCAGAGGGAAGATTAAAGACTCTCTCAAGGCCGTTTGCTATTTTAAGATTCTGTGGTTCTGGTTAGCTGGGGCTGAAGAATCCGCTGTGATTAGCGGATACCAGATACCAGAACCACTAAAGTGAAACCTTTACACATTACTGGGACAATTGATGCTGGTTAGCTGGAGCTATGAAGTTAGTGGTGATTAAGAAGAGGCCAGCATCACTGAGGTGAAATCTTCTGGGAAGTATTTCCTGAGAGCACAGAGAAGCTGTGTTCCAGAGATGGTCAAGGTCCTGAGTTCAATTCCCAGCAACCACATGGCAGCCCACAACCGTCTGTAACTCCAGTTCCAGAGGATCCAACACCCTCACACAAACATACATGCAGGCCAAACACCAATGCACATAAAATTAAAAAAAAAAAACAAAAAAACAAAAAACAAAGCAGGCTGAGCAAGGCAGGCAGGTAAAGTAAGCAGCACCCCTCCATGGCCTCTGCGTCAGCTCCTGCCTTCAGGGGGAACCTGCCCTGTTTGAGTTCCTGTCCTGACTTCCTTCAGTGATGAACAGCAAGGTTGAAGTGTAAGCCGAATAAACCCTTTCCTCCCCAGCTTGCTTTTTGGTCATGGTGTTTCATCACAGCAATAGAAACCCTAACTAAGACAGTCTGTTATGTTAAATCTTAACATCTTTGGAAAATAAGTATTAGCCCAGCTCCAAGGAGCCCACAATCACTTACTATTGGCAACTAAAGGATTGAGGGGTGGGGGTACCCAAATGTATACACTGATGATCCATCCCACCAGGCTCTGATTGCTCCAGACTCAGGGTCACATAGAAGCCCTAGTTAAATTGTGAAACACTAAACAAGACTAGTAAATGTGAGAGAGATTTTGTAAGATATAAGGGCTGGCCAGCATAGGAGGGAAATCAAGGGGAGGGCAAGTAAGCAGAATATATTATATATTATATTATATACCTATGAAGTCAGAGAGCTAAAATTTATAATAAAAATCCTATTCAAAAGAATAGTTCATGCTCTCCAGTAACAGCAAAACCATATGAAGCCCAGGAAGGATTTCAGAGCAATAAAGTTTTTCAGTTAATGGTCTCAAAGGAAATAGGATACAACTCATTAGATTTTCATGTGCCTCAGAATGAAGGTTAAACAGGCTAAGAATAAATTGAGTACCACTTTGTGTGGTGCTGAGGTCAAACAGGAAACATGGGTTAGAGGTTTTTTCATCAGATACATAACAACTGTGAAAACATGCTTTAGTGCCAAGAACTCCACTAAGAACTCTGGTTAAAGAATCATTCATGCTTGAACTGGCGGTGCACACTCTTAATTCTATGAGTTCAAGACCACGCTGGCCTACAAATTGAGTTCCAGGTCAGCCAGCGGTAGACAGTGAGACTCCTGTCTTTAAAAAAACAAAGTGCATTGACACTTTTACCACTGGTAGTGAAATTCAACATTAAAAGCAGCAATTATCGTCATAGGAAATCTTGAGAATGAAGTCAATGTTAAGTGTGTGTGTGTGTGTGTGTGTGTGTGTGTGTGTGTGTGTGTGTGTGTGTGTGTTTTGGTGTTTCGAGACAGGGTTTCTTTGTGTAGCTTTGCGCCTTTCCTGGAACTCACTTGGTAGACCAGGCTAGCCTCGAACTCACAGAGATCCGCCTGCTTCTGCCTCCCGAGTGCTGGGATTAAAGGCGTGCGCCACCACCGCCTGGCTCAGGACTCCCATTCTTAAGAGGATTAAGCCTGTCTCTTTTTACAAGACAAGGTGCAGCAAGAAGGCAGCCACTCCCAAGCCAGGAAGACAGAAAGAGCTAACACCAGAAACCAACCTTCATTTTAGAGACTTCTAGCCTCTAGAGCTGTAAGACACTAACTATTGGTTCTCTAATTACCAAGTCTAGTATTTTGTTATGCCAGTGTGAGCTGATTAACACACTAGGCAGGGGCTAGAGACATGGCTCAGTGGTTAAGAGCACTGACTGCTCTATCCGAAGACCCGGGTTCAATTTCCAGTACCCACATGGCAGCTCACAACTGTCTGTAACTCCAGTTCTAGGGGACCCGACACCCTTACACAGACATACATGCAGGCAAAACACCAATGCACATAAAACGAAAATAAATAAATAAATAAGGCAAAGGTGTTTTATTTATTTATTTATTTATTTATTTATTTATTTATTTATTTATTATGCATACAGTGTTTTGTCTGCATGTGTGCCTGTATGCCAGAAGAGGGCACCAGATCTCATTACAGATAGTTGTGAGCCACCCTATGGTTGCTGGGAATTGAACTAAGGACCTCTGGAAGACCAGCCAGTGCTCTTAACCTCTGAGCCATCTCTCCAGTCCTAAAACATTTTTTTTTAACTGGAGCTGAGGACCGAACCCAGAGCCTTGCGCTTGCTAGGCAAGCACTCTAAAGCGCTCTACCACTGAGCTAAGTCTCCAAGCCTAGGCAAAGGTGTTTTACAGAAGCTGTAAAAGACATACTCCTGTGACTTAGCCTATCTAGCACATGACTCCTTTTCTGGATGTTCCCATAACCACCTTAACCTCTAAGAAGATACAATTACACAAGCAGAACTCGAGTCAAAAGGCCAGTATATACTTTCTTTCTTTCCTTTTTTTTTTTTTTTCAGATTTTTTATTATGTATACAGCATGTATGCCTGCAGGCCACAAGAGGGCACCAGATCTCATTACAGATGGTTGTGAGCCACCATGTAGTTGGTTGCTGGGAATTGAACTCAGGACCTCTGGAAGAGCAGTCAGTGCTCTTAACCTCTGAGCCATCTCTTCGGCCCCAGTACACACTTTTTTTTTTTTTTTTTTTTTTGTATTTCGAGACAGGGTTTCTCTGTGTAGCTTTGCACCTTCCCTGGAACTCACTCTGTAGCTCAGGCTGGCCTCGAACTCACAGAGATCCGCCTGCATCTGCCTCCCGAGTGCTGGGATTTAAAGGCATGCATCACCAGCACCCGGCTATACTTTCTTACTGTATTCGTTACTTGCTGTAACAAATCAAACTTGGGGGCTGAAAACAACACAGATGTATGGCCTTATAATTTTAAATGTCCATGTGACTCACCCAGCTGAAACTGAGATGTCAGCTGGGGTGCATTCCTTTTAGAAGTTTTCGAGAACACATTTCCTTGACCCTTTCAGCTTCAAATTTCTTAGCTAGTGATTTCCTTCCTGTATGCCAGTAAGCCGGATTTGGGAGTCTTTGTCCTGCTGTGGCACTCACACCAGAGCTTTTACCTGGCCCCCTCTTGGGACCACCCATAGGTAGCATCTAGGGGAATCTTTCTATCTTTTTTTTTTTTTTTTTAAGATTTATTTATTACATATATAGTATTCTGTCTGCATGTGTCCCTGCAGGCCAGAAGAGGGCACCAGATCTCATTATAGGTAGTTGTGAACCACCATGTATATGGTCACTGGCACTTGAACTCAGGACCTTTTGAAGAGCAGTTGGTGTTCTTAACCACTGAGCCATC